CTTTCCCAATAAAACCACAGTAAGACAACCAGCAGCCCATCTTTTTTCTATTCCAGTCTGGTGCTTGTTATTTGTACATCCACCCCCCCCCCCCCGCCCCATCATCTTGTAGCCTGTCTTCTTTTCATTTTCTATCCTAGAAATGGTGGAACAGGGTGGAAACAGCAACAGGGCAGATACTCAGAGCTTTGCAAGAAGCCTTGTGCCCTCCAGGCATGATTAATCCTCCTTTGAAAGGCATACTCCGTGTTGTTGTTTTTTAAAAAAGCAAAAATAACAGGCTTCATAAAGTGCTCAGGAACCCTTGGGTTGCTTTGCATTCTGCATATTTTGTATCAACTGGCGGGGGAAGTGTTAAAAAGCCATGTTGGCAGCTGTGGCTGTCCCATTGAAGCCCCATTCCATTTCATATGTGGCACACATGGTACATGTAAAAAGGGGCACAGCTTTGAGTATACAGTTGCAGCTGCTCCTTTTTTAATACTCCCTACCCCCCAACCTGCCCCAACTACATCCCTGTAAACTGATAAACCTTGGGAAAAGAAAGGCACTTTCTGGTACTTGTCCAAGCTTTGCCTTTGCAGCCCCCACATTGAGAAACCCTGCCATAAGGTTTTCCCACATTTTCTCTGGGAATTTTGAGAACTGTAGCCCCAACTCATCTAGAAGGCAGTACAGTAAGATTGTATTGGATTATACCAAAATATATGCAGTATGTCCATTTCTTCCAACAGGAAAATGGCTTTCTTTGTCTTGTGAACAAAGCCATAACTCTGATTAAGTTCTGTAACATCAAAATAACATTTCTGTGGGAGATAGAATTAAACACTTCAGCTGAAGCTCCTGCTTGATTATATACCAACCCCTTCCCACTTTTCCAAACAGTATGTGTTCAAAGCCTGAAAGGAAATATACCTTTACAAAGATCTAATTGAGGTCAATTGTTGTCATCTCTCTTCAGATTCCAAAGACCTGCTCTGAAAACAAAAAAGTGACTTAACAGCCTACCTAAAAGTGAATTTATATATCTGACTTAATGCTGCCACTTTAAATGTGAAGTTGATCGAGTGAATAAGGCAAACAATAAACAGTCAATAATACAAGACTTTTCTTGGTTCATTGCTCCTTCAACAATTATAGCAAGGAAGTGTAGAAGCCAGAGAAGTGCTTTTACTTTCCTTGCTTACTATCTATGGAAGCCACAGGAGGAGATGCTGAGACCACAGAGCGGCCTAGAAAGGGTAAGTAGATGCCTCTTTTGGCTCATTCTCTGCCTTCCCTTAGTAATGCACACAGAAGATTGAAGGAGCAGCTACTTCATCTCATTTACTCACTTGCAATTTTTCTTTGGGCAGCAACAGGAGTGAGGATTCTGCCTAGTGCATAAAATATTTCCTGCTGTGCAGCTCAGAGAGGGTGAGAGGAAGCAGCTCATAGCAACACTCATTCTGTCTCTCTGGAAAGCAGCAGGAAGGGTGGGTTTAGCAGCAGTGGTGTTGCCAGGATCTCCCAGCACTAGGCCAGGATGCTGCAGCATGGAAAGCTCCAAATTCAGTTACCACATACTTTTCCTTTAAAATTTCTTTGTTAAAGAGCTTCCGTTCTGTGGGGAGTTAGATGGGTAGGGGCTGAGAGACCATGCTGCAGGAAAAAGGGAACCAGGAAGGACAAATGCAGCTGGAGAAGTGGGAAAAAAAGCAAAGTGCAGAGCATACAACATCTTGATCCAAGGCCCCTCTGACCATGAAAATGCCACTGCTTAACAGGAAAAAAGAAGGAAAAGGACATGGGGGCCTGTTAATTTACTTACTAATATGTGCTCTATTAGGTTTAATTATTTTTTAATTTTTTATCAAATATTATTTGATACGAGTAAAACTAATACAAACTACAAAAGATAAAAATATAAAAAAAGAAAATAAAAAAGTACAGAAAAAGAAAAGAGAAAAAAGACAAAGCAGCAGCAAGTATAGATATCTTTAACAACTTAGCACCATCTCTTAAAATACAGCAACCATCTCTTCTGCTCATATCCCACCCCATTCTCTATAAACAATTTTTTAAAGCCTCATCAATCCATCCTAATTGGCAAAAGTCCATAAGGGTTATTAGAAATAACGTATCTATTACAAACTAAATCTAATAAACCCACTTAAAATCCTTGCTTTTACATTCATATCTTACTTTCTATCTTTATCATTCAAACCTGGTCCTTAAAATATCAAATAAAAATTACCAGAAATAACAGCATTATTTTAACACTATATTGGTCTTAAACAAATAGACTTAAAATGCAACATATGAACTCTCCCACATCTCATCTTTTATAAACAAAACCTGTAAAACATTGTCATCCAGTCTGATTCAGCAAAAATCCATTAAAAATACCAGAGATAACAACCCATCTATTTTAACCTTGATCAAATAAACCAACTTTATATTCTTTCCTCTTTCTCCCCACAGTCTTTAATCTCTTCAGATAATGTCCTAACATCTGCTTTCTTTTCATATTCTCTTTATCTCTTCTCACAAAATCATTAAGAACTTTAACATCCCTATTGTAAATCCAATATAAAAAGGTTATCCATGTTGCTCTTCTGATTTAGTATGTCTTTTCCAGCAGATTTCAT